AATTCCACAGCTCTAGGAGGAAACCCTGAATATGGGGTGAGTACGGACTTGTCGGTAATTTTGAGGTTCTGTAGGCTCCTCTACTGGAGTAAAAGCCACTAAAATGACAGGATGAAGAAGAAGAAGAATCATTTTGAGGTTAGGCCAAAGGCTCTTAGGGCCCATTAAGGCAACTAACATATGAGATTCCTTCAAAATGCGTCTGATCTGTTTTAGATGTAATCACTGAAATAATTGACAGAGCTGAATTCGCTTCATTAGTATGAAAACGAGTCAAAAGTAAGACGTAAGGGCACAAAAAATGTTGCAGTTTCGGGCAAAACAGCCGTAGGGAGCATCATTCCTACGGAGAGCCAATGCAAACAGTGATTTAGGGTAAAATGCCGCCCTTTTCTCTCAACTTCTAGCCTGAAAATGTATTTCTACTGTGTCTAAAACGCGCACATGAAAGCATGCAGAAGATAGCACTTACGGCTAGCTTGCCTGACACTAGCCCAACATGAAAATGAATAATACACTTTTGATAGAATTTATTAAGTAAATTGGTCGATTTTTAATCATTCAAACGGTTTCTAACAGTCTTTCGGATGATCGGTGGTAATTCGACAAAGAACGGAGGCTTCTTTCAATAAAATTTATCGCTCAGACGCTAGTGTGACCATTCCCAAAACTTCATTGTTGCACTAAAGGGTCTCTCCGCAATGACTGCAGAGAAAATGTCGTGGGTATGTAACTCGGTGGCCGAAGCTACTGACAAGTGACTTCGCGTTGGAATCCCGACAATAGGAATCCGATTGGATCCCGGGATGATCGGTTCGTCGGTGCGTGAGAATGTGGAAATGCATCTGCGTCGAACTTGACATCTAGATAGCGAGTGTAACCCTGGCCTATAGACGGATCCGGGGAAAACGCGAGCCGTGTTTATGGCGATCGCAGCATAGTGTTCGCGAAGAGTCCCATTGAGGTCAAGGACTAAAAAACACCGGAGCCGGGGAGCCATCAGGGTTCCCGCGGATCCACACCGACCAGGTACCCCGACCTCGGACACTCTCCATTAGCGACGTTGCCAAGCTTCCCCTCAATAATTATATAGGATCAATCGGACGCATATGCTTAAAGGAACTACGTTCATTTGACGGTTTTCGTGGAACATCGTTTCTCTTAGCATAGATACGTCCAGTTAGAGTTCGTCTGCTCTGACGAGAGATACAGCAGACCGAATAGACAGGGTGGATACGTCGCAATTGTTGGAATTACACAACTAAACGTGCAATCTGCTAAGTCTCTATGCGTCGGCGACAATCAGCCGGATTCATTCCGGAACTTTTTTCGGAATTTCCGCACTTTTTTTGTACATCCGAACCGCCCTTTAAAAATCAGTACTATTTCCGGACACGTAGACACCCTGAGCCAACACGCTAATCACAGAATTCTCCATCTTTTCTAACAAATTCACTAATTTTTCTCGGTCGCCATAAATTCTCAGACTTTCCGGACCACCCGCGTAACCCCATTCCGGAACCATCACAAGAATAACCGGATCCTTCCACAATTTTCCGGACTTGCGTCCACGCCGTGAATCCGGGACCGTTATCCCGTGAGTCCGCGGCGTGGAAGTGTGCGTGTGACCCGTTGACTGTCGCGGATTGACATGCACCGCGCGTGGCGCGGAATGCGAGGAGCCGGAGACAAGCGCTCGGCGACGCGACGAGGCGACCTTGCTTCCGGACACAGCCGGAGTCGGGGCCGGAAGCGGAGGAGCAAACCGCACACGGCACACGAGCGGAAACGACCTCGCCGACGGTCACGCACAAAAAAAAATGGAAGCCGCAATTTTGGCACTTCGTCCGCCGCGCGCGGCCCGCTCTACGCTCCGCCAGCGCGCATCAGCGCATCCTGCCCATCCGAGGTGGTGCTTAAAGACTCCAAGAAATGACAAGGATATGGACGGATTTATCCTGGTTTGGCTTGATTTCCGCTCTTGCTTTGTTTCAAACTTAGCAGCATAATGCATTGAAACATTCCGGGAACGAGTTGTGTAGCAAAGTTTGTTGTTTACAAGGGAGTCTGTGCTAAAACCAGCTGGTAAAAATTCAGTGCTTTGACAGTACATTCCCAAAGAATTCAGGACTTCCTCTACAGAAAAATTCCATAATTTATTAGTACCTTGATGTGAGGAAATTGAATTATTTTCGAAATCGCGACAAAAAAGGCGTAGCTAGGAAATTCGAAGCTCACTGGTGGCCTGAGAATCAACAAGCAGACCTTTTTGCGAAATTTCCGTACTATTCAGTGCTAGATCAGTACTGTTTCCGGACTTTCCACCAGATCCATGGACACCCTACACTACAGCAGCGACTTTACCGCTCCGGAGGAACCCGATTGCCCTTGGCGCGAAGGCGGACCCAGCAATTTGGCAACACCGGATTCCCTCCGTTCAAACCGATGTAAAATAATCGATTCATGTCGGAGCACCCGGCTGTCCAAGAATCGATACATTTCCAGGGGATTGAATGGAGAAAACAATGTTGCCAATCCGCCACCGTCGAAAAGGCATTCGAGGTCACGGACGCGCGTCGAAAAAAACACGACTGTTTATCGGCGGGCGGGCGGGCGACATTATGGTTATTATGTCATTAAGATCCGGGGATTTTTTCCTACTGCGGTCAAAAAGCCGGCCGCGTTCGTCCGCACCCGCAGCGGCCTAAGGTCGCCGGGATCCGCGCCGCGGTGCGGTGCAGCAAGCGCGGTTGATAAATAAAAGCCATTGCTGCGCTCGAATCGCGCTTATCGCCGCATTAATTCGCAGATAAATATGATCTTTTCAGCCGTGTGTCGTGCCGTGTGCGTCAATTGCACCAATTTAAATCGAAAGGAACTATATCCATCATGACATAAGCTTTGGAATCCATAAGAAGAAATGTATGACAGGGCTCATGACATAATGAAATTACTTCCATTTGATTTAAATGCGTCCAATATTGTACTGTACCGAAGGAGAGTCGCTCGCCGCGCCGCACGGTGGATCGAGTCAATTCAAGAGATCGGACATTAAATTTTGGACAAAAACCGCAAAATTTGATGTTTATTTCGTCACGTTCCCAATTTTAAGGGGTGCATTTAGAGCAAAATTTTACGAAGAAACAGATGAAACTTTCAGAACCTCAAAACGTTGTATAAACGGAGTTATGAGCTTTTAAAAATTCCAAATTTTGCCCGACCTCTCCTATCGACTTGATCCACTGTGCGCCAATCGAGCATCCATCCGAGGCGCGCAATGGCGCATCCTCCCGTGTGCACTGGGAATAATAGTCTGTGATAAGACCAACATCGCACGAAGAAGAAATTCGGCAAGAAATAAAATATATTAAAATTTTGGTGGAAGCGCCTTTCTTCCTCAAAACCGCTCGTTAATGTCGATTTTAGCAATATTACCGCAGCCAAGCACATGAATCAGAGCTGAGAGACGTCGGGTATAATAATTCGTCGCCTTTCTGACATAAGGGCGCGACTACACTCAACGACGAGCCCTGATGTCCATATAACTTCATGCTTTCTCGGGCTCATCTCAAATTGTAGTTACGCCCTTATGTCAGGCAGGCGACGAATTGAAGGAAGTCGGAATCGAGTGAAAGTTCAGAGAAAGTTTCCCGAGGATTTTTCTCAGCCCCCCCCCCCGACTTCCGCCGATGCTCCGTTCATTATAATTCGCGCGGCCATCGCTTCAGAACGATTCAGCTGCGCAGTCAGATATCATTACACGATCGCCGGAGGTAAAAGGGAGGCAATCACTCCTCAATGCCTGAATGGATTACTGAAAAATTACCGTCTTTCGCGCTGCGAGTATACGCTCACTTGAACCAAATGAAACCGGCAGAGAATGAGCGGTCTACCTACATCGCATCATCTACATCTATAATTTATAAATTCACACAGAGAAAAAAACTTCGTGCGTGGGACCCGAAGTTGAGGTCATATGGATCTCTGGATTTGAAAATGGAAATTTTTGGATCACATACCTAAAAACTTGAGGTCGAGCTGCCGAAGTTCGGGTCAGACATCTGAAGTAATTCGACATATACCAAAGGGTTCGGGTCACACATCTGAAGTACTCCGGTACATACCGAAGTGCCTCGATGTCTGACCCGAACTTCGGCAGCTCGACCTCAAGTTTTCGGATGCGTGATCAGAAAACTTCAGAGATCCATATGACCTGGCCTTACGCACGAAGTTTTTTTTCTCCGTGTCCCTACATCGCATCATCTACATCTATAATTTATGAATTCAGGAGTTCCTGCTGGATTTTTGCTCTCCTCTTCTCGAAAATAGTTTTAGATATACTCGTCTTGAACTATAAGAGACGATGATGGTTTTCGACCCTTGCCCTTGACCTCGATCTCTCATTTCGCGAAATTGCCTGGGTGCAAGAGCCTTGACTTGACGGGTTGTTTCCAAGAAGAGCTTTTTTGGTGTTTAATCAGTAAGTGGAACATTATAATGTATGCGACAGCTTCAGCGTGAAGGGTCGATAGACTCAGGTCAGTTAAATCGCGAAGTTCAGTGCAATATTGATAATACAGGGTGAGCGAAAAGTCCCCGACCGCAGCTCTATAACTTTTGAACGCATGCACGCATCAAAATGAAATTTTAGGGATGTTTCTAGATCAATCAGAGCTACTTTTTGGCACATCCAAATTTTTATTTGGGGGGAGGGAGCGCTAGATGTCTAAAAAAAACATTAAGGAAGAGTTTTCAAACAAATGCGTTGTCCGAAACGTTAAACCCATTCTAGCAGCAAATAAAGGTGACCCAACGATTTTCCCTGACATTTTCGTCATTTACACTAAAATTTCCAGGGCTTCCCTGACACTTACAATTCTCTGACCTCCCGGTTTCCCCCGGCATTTCTTCCCTGACTGTGGCAACCCTGCGGTTTGGTTTGATTGAAAGTAGCTTCTGAAAACTAGTTGCGAGCAAAGAGAAGTCGAATTGGAACTTACCTAGAATGAGGTGGAGTTTGGCGTCGGTCTGGAAGGCGTAGTGAAGGGTGACTAGGAAGGGGGACTGGCGGACAGCCTCGAGGACTTGTCGTTCCGTTTTCGTGTGCTCTGTCGTTTTCTTCTTCTGCACTATCGTCGCTTTCTTGAGCACTTTCATCGCGTACAACCGCCCGTCGTCCACGCCACCCTTCTTTCTGACTAGAAACACTTTCCCGTAAGCTGCAACACACAGAAATCATAGGCTTAGTGAAAACATTCTCAAAATATGGAAACGAATCAATGACATGCCATAAAATACAGATTTTATACCGCACTGAAATCAAGCCAACACTGGAAAAAAAACACATTGGGTCCGCCAGGCTCTTGAAAACATTGACAAGAAAAAGTACTCTTGATTCAATCAGATTTTTGCTTAGATCAAAATGAAATCCGCTCAAATTAAGAGGCTTGGTTCTTGATTTAAGCAAAAATCCGATTGAATCAAGAGTATTTTTTCTTGTCAATGTTTTTAAGAGTCTGGACTCTAGATCCAATGTGCTTTTTTTCCAGTGAGAGGTTAAATTTTTGAAGGTGTCTAAGCTCTATTAAGCCTCTTCCCCACAAAAAAAGTGGACATGAGAAATGCGTTACAAAGTTTGGCTCTGAGCACTTAGCAGCAGCTCCTGATTGGCATTTAATTTCCTACTCGACAATGTTAAAGCTGCGCGAGACTGATTGAAATCAAACCGTCTCCACGTGTTCGAAGCTTTTGCCCTGGGCCGAAGCTGAACTGAATCTCTGCAACGGGTTCCGCGTCCAGAAAAAAATCACACGAGCCGGGCAACCGAAGGAGCACCGGACCGAGCTCATTTGAATACGCGAGTCAAAAGCGACACTTCTTTATCATGAGCAACCAGGAAGCGGTCGAACACCGACTCGCGCCGCGTTCGGCCGGGGTACAGGATCGCGCTATTTACGAGGAAGTGCAAACACACTTGTTCAAAGCGGTGTAACAATTGCCTCGAATCATATATTTTCGGGGGCATTATCTCCGGGTTACACAGTTCCCCCACCCGCTGGATTCCTCTCAGCAGTCTACGATTATTACGGGAATCGAAAATGTTTGCCATGGACTCAGATTGCATTAATTTTATCATTAACGTACTAACAAGCGAAGGAAAAAACGGCCAATGAGTATTAGAATGTTGCAAAATTTTTGGCGAAAAAATAATTATTTTTGAGGGAAGAGATAATCAATTTTCCTTGACATTTTCCGATTCGGTAACTGTCAGGTTGCAACGTTATTGATTTTGATGCCGCCTCGTGAGGAGGTCCTAAAAAAAGTTCGGTCTATCGACAAAAGGGTCTAAAGGGTCAAATAAGTTACTACCGGTTTCCATTACTATTAATGATTGATTAGACATAACCGAGCAAAACCATCCAAAGCAGTGGCTATTTTGCAAGTTGGCAACACTGTTTACACTCCATTAAAATTCATTAAAAAAAATCGATTACGGGTGACACCGAGAATCGATAGTTTCCTATACATTTAAATGGAGGAAAAACAGGGTTGCCAACTTCCAAAATTCGACACTGCTCATATGTAGGCTCGAAACTTTAAATAAATTTCTTTGCTCGCCATCACCATCCCCATTTTTCCCGAGCTTACGCACGATGGCAACGTCGCCGGCAAAGGATGTCGCCGGCCGAGACACGTGGGGCCGACGGCCGGGGAGGGCGGCGCGGGTGCCAGGTGGCGGGCCCCCGACGGAGAGCGAGGCGAGGGGGGCGGAGCGGCGGGACGACCAGGGCTGCGGGGCGAGGGCGTGCCCCCCCCCCCCCCCC